AAACTTTTGCAAATTTCAAATTAAAAAAGTAAAAAATGGGATTCTTCACATCATTACATTCAAAGAATATCAGAAAAAATAATGAAATATTTTATAAAAAGATATGCCTCAAGGGCACAAACAATAAAGGTTTAATACAAATTCCAAATATGTGGAAAAATGAATCAATCAATGAGTTTCTGGAAGGAATTAATAAGTTTTGTGAAATATATATCAAATATATATAAATGTATATAAATATATATATATAAAATGTATATAAATATATGTATAAATATAAATATAAATATATAAAAGGAGGAAGTAGAAATAAAGAAGATGTAACCAGGGTTTCATCATTCAAGGTGTAACCAGGGTTTCATCCTTTAGGTTGTAACCAGGGTTTCATCCTTCAAGGTGTAACCGGGGTTTCATCCTTCAAGACATAACCAGGGTTTCACCCTTCAACGTGTAAGCAGGGTTTCATCCTTCAAGGAATAACCAGGGTTTCATCTTTCAAGGAGTAAGAAGGGTTTGGTACTTCCAGGTGTTACCAAGGTTTCATCCTTCAAGCAAGTAACCCAGGTTTCATCCTTCAAGGAGTAACCAGGGTTTCATCCTTCAAAGTGTAACCAGGGTTTCATAATACCAGGTGTAACCAGGGTTTCATCCTTCAAGGAGTAATCAGGGTTTTATCCTTCAAAGTGTAACCAGGGTTTCATAATACCAGGTGTAACCAGGGTTTCATCCTTCAAGGAGTAACCAGGGTTTCATAATACCAGGTGTAACCAGGGTTTCATCCTTCAAGGAGTAACCAGGGTTTCATCCTTCAAGGAGTAATCAGGGTTTTATCCTTTAGGGCGTAATTAGGGTTTCATACTTCAAGGTGTAACCAGGATTTTATCCTTCAAGGTGTAACCAGAGTTTCATCCTATAAGGTGCAACCAGAGTTTCATCCTTCAAGGTGTAACCGGGGTTTCGTCCTTCAAGGAGTTATCAAGGTTTCATCTTTCAGAGTGTAACTAGGGTTTCATCCTTCAAGGTGTAACCAGTGTTTTATCCTTCAAAGTGTTTCCAGGGTTTCATCCTTCAAGACGTAACCAGGGTATCCAAGGTCCCAAGTTCATATAACTTTCCTCCTTTGACATTTGGTAGAAAATATTCATATTTCTGTCCCGTAAAACTTTTTCTCGTCTATTTTTATAGGTCTATAAATATCAATAGTAAAAGTAAAAGTTTCAATTTATGTTGAAGGAGGGATTCTTTCAAAGCGAAGCATAATAAATTTGAACTGTAAAATCGAAACACTTGATTACTTGGATTTCAGGCATAAGTAAAATATACTTTAAAGGTATACATACAGTCCAATTACCTTGCAAGAAATATACTTTATCTCTCCTTCAAACAAAACTAGCAGAAAAAAGCATTGTTTCTAAAAAATTGACATTTTATTGTACTGTTATGTTAGTAATAACTAATAATTAGTATTAAAACTAGAGATAGTAAAAGACATTTTTTAAATGAAAAACTCTACTTAAACTTGAATTCAACGAGGTTATAGTTCATAGAGTGATGATGTATGCAGACGCTAATTGCATAGGCCATGAACTAAACCGAGAGCGTATTGCACATTTGTTAATCATAAGGAGATTCTGGTCTAATCAGAGATAAGAGATTTACAGAGATCGATTATCAGCTAAAATATGCGATATTTTCCATATAGCATGTTCTATTGTGTACTGTACACGACCAATCAGCAAACATCTGTATTCAGGGATATTTAGGGATCCTTTGGATACGAAACACAAAATCTTAAGAAAAAGACTGAATTCATAAATGTCATGTTTCATGTTTAAAATTGGAGTATTTCTTTAAAAGTTGTAAAACAAAACCCCTGAATGGGTATTATGTTCAACATATGGCCGTGAGATGGCACTCTAAAAACCCATTGTATTAACGTAGCATGTCGTGCCGGGTCCACTTAGGCCTACAAAGCCCACTCTCTGAAAGGAGATAAGCAGTCTGCGTCGTCTGGGGGCCTAATCTATATATCATTATTAGTAAACAGTTGTAAGTGTACAGTACAGCTAACTGAGCACACATGGTAGGAAACTTTCATCCCCCCTGAGCCTGAAATTTAAAAGAGTATCATTGAACGAGACTCCTGAGTTTCCTTTTTGGGGTCTTAACACTTGTGTAGATTTTGTTTTAAGAGATTCGAAAAAAATGGAAAACATAAACAAACTGAATTATATAATATTTCATAACAAAAATATTTATTTTCACAAAACTCCCTAACCCCGTTCATAAAACCCGGGTTTTAGAACTGGTTTTAATAACGATACCCTGTCTTAAGTTTTGGGCTCTG